CGACATGTGTCATCGATGCCTATGTCCCCAAGTGCACCAGTCCCTTGACATGTATCCACGGCGTACATGATCCCCGAGACGCTGCTTGATCAACACGTGTCCTCGGCGCATATGTCCTCCGATGCACCAGTCGCTTGACATGTGTCCTCGGCATCTTCGCTCTCCAAAGGGACTCTCCATCTGGCATGTGGCCTCGGCGTCAAGTCCCTACTCCACTAAGGTGTTGACAATTGTCCTAATGGTTGGCCCCTATCAAATGGCTAAGTCCTTAAAGAAGATAAGGAGGGGTTTAGCTAACGCAAAATCTCACTCAAACAATAGAACAATGATTTTCAACCTTCTCTCACATACTGACTTGATCATCGAAGAGATCACACCAGAAAATACTCCAACACCCTTCTAACCTTTCTTTTTAAGTGATAGGACCCAGTTCAATAAATCACAAGTAAGCAGATAGTTTGTAAAGAGCTTCATCGCCATTCATTATGACTTCCCAACATCCATTTGTTGCGGAACATTCGACTTTCCAAGCGAACTCAAGTTTATCAAGGTAGAGATCTGTCCTTTTATTCAGTGTGTCAAAATCACCGCGCACAGAAAGCCTGATAAATCTTCTTAAGGCTATACCGTTCATAGTTTACCGTCGGAAGGAGCTTCTTGCTGCCATAAAATTTTGCCTTACATCACCACATAAATTTTTCCTTATCTCAGGGTGTAGATCTTTTTACTGTGAGTGGAGGGCTCTTCTTACTTTGCCTTATATCATGATGTAGATCTTACTGTAGTTGTTCTATGGAGTTTTTTGTCCCATCTGAATATCGAAATCAAGTTCTGTATTTTTTATTTTTTTTCCTATGTTGTATTTTGGTGATCAAATGTTCGATGCAATTCGTTTGAAGACTTACGAAATCAGTCTTTCTTTTTCCCTTTGTCTTTCCTTCACTTGCTGTTAGAAGGCACTATGTAACAAATAATTGTTTGTGCCTAACAAAACTCTATACCAAAAAATAATAATAATAATTGATTTGGAAAAAATTGTCAATCAATATGGACACGCTGTTTTTTTTAAAAGAAAAATTGACAAAATTTTCTCTTGAATCATGACTAATGAAAAATATCAACTTGTATAAATAATTTATATAATCAAATTAACAATTAGCAAAAATATTTATTCAAAAAAATACAACTCAAACAAATTATAGATCACCATCAAAACCAGCATCTTCTTCGGGACCCTAGTGGTGTCTGAACCCACCCTAACGGCTCTGTAATGATAGCCTCATCCATAAAATATGTCAACACTTAATGATTTCTTTTTATAAAAAAAATAATTATTTCACTAAAAATGATGAACCTAAGATAGGAATCAACTTATCTTTTGCAAGACCAAGATTTACAATTTGTATCTGCGATTATGTATAATTTATATAAGTTTGGTGTTTTAGGCATAGATAATTTTTAATCTATATAATAAATTAGAGCTGAGTTTGAATTCTAAAACTTATCTTGAGTTTTTTGAGGCTCAGATCAATTCTAAACAAAAGATAAGTTATATCCAAAGGTTTATCTTATCTCAATTTTTTTTTTTTGGCAGCTTGGATCAACTCAAAAATAGTGATTCAAAGGATCAGATTGACAAACAAATTTTATTTTTCTGCTTAAGACACCTTCCATTTTTAATTATCNTCTCTCTTTCTTATGCCGTCAATAAATTAAAAGGGTTATTTGCTCTAGTGGTCCCTAAACTATTCACGTTGTCTCATTTTGGTCCCCAATATTTCAATTGAATCAAATTGTTCCTCAAAGTATTCACTTTGATTTATTTTGGTCCCAACCACAGACACCGTTTGCTTTTTGCCGTCTCCATCTCCATGTGTCATTCACGTGAGNTATTCACCCCTTAGTTCAGAGGCAAATCTCCCCCCAAATCATACATATATCTTCCTTGAATTATGCATAATTCATTCACTCTTTCTATGGTAACTAATTTATTCTTTNTGCCGTCTCCATCTCCATGTGTCATTCACGTGAGGGGCAAAGTGGATATAATTAGATTCAAAATAGATAAAAATATATTAGATAGAAGGATATAGAAGCGAGATAAAGAAGATATCAATTTAAGGAAGAGACATGATTTTCAGAAATTTAAGGAAAAAAAATTAAAAACAAAGATGACTGAGGTATAGGAGATGTGAATAGAAAAAAGAGATAAAAATATACCTTGCGTATAAAGATAGAAGATAAAGAAGAGAGAGAAAGGAAGATAGAGGAATTTTAGGAAAAGTGAAAAGGAAGATAGAGGAATTTAAGAAAAAGTGAGATAGAGAAAGAGATGAAATAAATAGAAGAGAGAATTTAAGGAAGAGAGATGAGAGGGAGAAATAGATTGATGAGAGAGTAGAGAGATAGAATGGGACAAATAAATAAGAGAGAGAAATTTGAGGAAGTGAGAAGAGAGAGGGAATACATGTCAAATAGGAAAGTAAATCTTCTAGAATAATAGAACAATTTTAAATTATTGGCTCATTTCCTTAAGACAATCGTCTTTCATTAAGAGTATTATTGTCTTTGTGGTTGCAATTGTACTTGATGATGCACAAAATAAACTTATAGATGATGCACAAAATAAACTTATACAAGATCAATAGTTGAGTGTGTGATAAAATGTAATTAATGGACAATTAATAGTGTGATCATTGACAATAATGTAAATATCGGATCAACACACAGATATATAGGGGTTCAGTCCGGGTGACTTAATTCACTCCGAAAAACGACAACGGTGGCTGGGGACCTTTATTAATAAAGTAAGGTGAACGAGAGAGAGCAATGGTTAGTTTCGAAAAAGGTACAATAGTTAGGAGAGAGAAAAGTTATGTGTATGGTGTGTAGAGATAGATCAAGAGGTCTAGAGATGCTCCTTTCAATGGAATAGGCATGAAGCCCTTAGGTGAGACAGTGACGTGAGGACAAAAGTACTAGCTTCTCGGAGAAGATAGTTACAAAAGGTAAGTATAATTAAAGGGTGCATTGATCTTCGAGATTGAGTATCACAATAATTGCTCCTCACGTGCTCTAATATTTCTGAACTCCTTGAACTCTAGACTGGGCCGAATCCATAAATTGGGTCTGACCTGCCTTGTAACTAATTTGGGTTAATTTGATTTATTGAGCTTGACCCGATTAAATTTGGGCTCATCAGTACTTTTGAACTAAAAAGTTATGTGAATGTACCTATGATTCCTATCTACTACATTCTGTCGTCGTCGGCCCTTCCCCCTCTGTATTTTCCTCGTATTGTGCACATATTATTTTATTCTCAATAATCACTAAAAATGTATTTTATTTTTTTAATTAATTTAATTTCATATTCTTATTAATATTACGTGATCTAACCAATTTTTTTTCTTGTGAAGGCTATCCTACTATCCGATTTGAAAGGCGAAAAAATCTAGCATACAATCTCTTAATCAAGTTCTACTATTCTATTATTATTGATCTTTGCAATATAGTAGCTTTTAATTTTGAGTACTTTTAATTTTTTTTAGATTTTATTTTGTTAAAAAAGATTATCTAATCTTGAATATGTCAACTAGAAGATAAGACTCAGGAGGTGAGAAAACAAAAAAAGAAAAAAAAAAAAGATGAATTCATTCAATCCCAAAAAGGTGTCTTTGATAATTTTATTAATAAAAAATACGTGACAACTTCAAGTTCCATAAAATTTTGACAAATAAAGAAGATGAGACTCGCAAGACGATTAGGGATTTTTTTCCTCGTAAATATTTATGATCTGGAGCAATGGAATGAAATTGATACACACACTTAGTATATTCAAAAAAGTTTGATAAACTGTAATATTTTTGTAAAAAGTAGTTTAGTTCTAAATCTAAAATAAATCAACTATTTAATGAGGGAACTAAAGATTAGAGAAATCTCATTACTAAACTTAAAACTCATGAACATATTACCAATATGAAAAGTTGGGCTGATTTAGAACTAAGGTTGTTAACAAATAAAACAATAGATAAAAATGTTCAAGAACAAATTAACAAAGAAAAAGAATAGTAGAAAAATGTGTTAGCTAGACTTATCACTCTTGTTAAGAATCTTTCTAAAAATAACCTAGCATTTCGTTGAATAAATAAAAAGATTTAACAAAAAAAATAGTAGAAACATTTAAAGCTTAATTAAAACAATAGTAGAATTTGATCCAATAATAATAGAACATATTTGACGCATTCACCATGGAGAAATTTAAAATCGTTATCTTGGTCATAATATACAAAATGAACTAACACAGATGTTATCATTTGAAATTAAAAGTATAATTAATTAAAATTTAAAATATTTTTCAGTTATACTTGATTGTTCTTCTCATATAAGTCATCAAGAATAAATGATGTATATATCACAATGTGTGGATGTTTCAATAACCTTAATACAGATAGAAGAATACTTTTTAAGGGTTGTAGGGGTAGAAAATACTTCAGAAATTTTTTATTTTTTTAATGAACATATAAATGTAATATATTTAGTCTTGAACTTGATATTTAAATATAATATGACAAGGATATGATAATGAACATGATGTGAAAGAAAAACAAAAAAGTGTACAGAAGGCTATTAGATGTAGACTTTAGAGCATTTTCAACATCATGTGGTTGTCACAATCTTAACTTAGTATATTACGATATGGCTAACTCTGGTTCTAAAGATATGTTTTTTTTTGGAATTGTAAAATGTATGTATACTTTATTTTCTTTATCAACAAAATGACGAAAAATTTTACTTGATCACGACTAATATAACTGTCAAATCATTGCCACAAACACGCTGGAAAAGTCGAATTGAAAGTGCTAAGGCCATAAGATTCCAAGCCCCGCAAATAAGAGATGTCTTACTCCAATTAGCAAAACTTAATGATGATACCAAAGCATGTAGTGAAGCTAAATGCTTAACAACATATGAAATTGAAAATTTTTAGTTCTTATTAGGTATGACTATTTAATATGATATATTATTCGCGGTTAACTCTATTAGTAAAAATTTACAATACAAAGGTATGCATATTGATGTTGCTAACTCATGTACTGAAGGAGTAATGTGGGGATAGAATGGATAATACAAAAGGGTTAATATCATTTTTGATCTCTAAAATATGCATTTTTTATCGGTTTAGTCTTCATTGTATCAACTTTATCAATTTAGGTCATAGAGTATTCAATTCGTGTCATTTTTGTTACTAATTAAATAATCTGTCAAGTTTTTTGACAGAAGTGACCACATTTCATTTTTTAAGACTGTATGACGTGCTAATTACATAATTCTTCCGTAAAAAACTTAATTGTCTGTCAATGCAGGGATCAAAATGACACGAATTAAATATTTTAAGAACTAAATTGACAAAATTAATATAATGAGAACTAAACTTACAAAAAATTCATATTTTAAGAACAATAAAACTCAATGCAGTCAAAGGCCACACACAGTAAATCTTATACGGTAGCCTCTAAAAAACATTGTTAACAAACTAAAAATGACATCACATTCTAGATTATGGCCGAAAAGACACCTGTCTTAAAAACATGAGGTAAACATTCATTAGGAACGACAAATGTGGTAGAAGACTTGGAGCAGAATGATTTCTCATCCATTATTTGTGATTATTTCTTGAGGAAAACTTTGACCCATTCTGCGGAGTGTTTTGGATATCTCTTCTGCCCATTTTGATAATCAACAAAGGTTAATCCAAAACGAACATTGTAACCAGTGGCCCATTCAAAATTGTCCAACATTGACCATGCAAAGTATGCCATCACATTGACACCTTCCCTAAATAAAAGGAAACAAAAAACAGAATAGAAGGGCCAATTAGAGCTATCAATCATAAACTTATAGGAGAAGGAATTGTCGAATTCGATAACATTTGACTTGGCCTTAACTTTTCGACAATTTACTAACCAAATCAACTATTGTCATTGAATTAGCAATAGAAGTCATCTATTTAGTATTGGAATCCACTATTAATCCAACTACAACAAGGGATCTGCCTAACACATTTTATCGATAAATATGTTAAAAATATCATTAGCAAAATAAACTAGACTCAACGTGACATCATCTCAAATTAATATAAAATAGATAGCCGGCGATTAAAAACTTACTCGATAGCTATNCTCAAATTAATATAAAATAGATAGCCGGCGATTAAGAACTTACTCGATAGCTATTCGAACATAAGTCAGATGTTGATAAAAGAATCGTATCCTGAAGTTATCCGTGATGGATTCCTTAAGCGATAATGTTGCATTGTTGAGCTCATCAATCCCTACGAATTAGCAATGGAGTTTAGGGAAAACAATGTATATAATTATTCGATGTCCTAATCAAATGAAATTTGAAGTTTTTGAATGAAATATAGTCTTTGTTTAAAGAATGTCTTAGCAAATGACTGTTTTCATAGGAGTGACTCAGTAATAGAACACTCGCCTAAAAGAAAGGAGACAAAGGTTGTAAAAGGCAATCTCTTGCAAACAAAGCAAACTCTTTGGAGGAATCTCCGTTTCAAAATTATTTTAGAAAATAAATTTTTTACAAGAGAGACTTTGTAGTAGAAGATTCATCTAAAAGAAAGGAGATAGAGATTATATATTGATGATCCATCATATATGAAGCAAACATTTATTTGTAAAAAAAATTACCATTTTCCGTGATGTAGATAATTGGATTATTGTATTTTCTCTTTACATACACGAGAAGATCCCTTATGCCTCTTGGATAAACATGGAGCCATACTGAACCAGCCTGAGACATCAATAAAGTACATTAGGCTGACTAAGAATATGGTCATTCTAAATTCTAAGATTGGTTGTCAAGAGATAATTATAAGAAAATTTTATATCTATTCATAGTATACCTGAGCACCAATAAGTTGTCCATCTCTCTCAACTGCCATAAGAAAATAATGTCTTTAGCATATAATTTGTTTTTTTTTTTTTTAACTTTTGCACGTCACAGTAAATTTGGGGGGTTTAATGGTAGACTTACATGTAAGAATTGCATGACTATCTGTGCTGTAACTTAAGTTAACAGTATTTGGACTAGGGTTATTGGCTACATAAGTAGAAGTGTAGTAGTTCAAGCCAATAAAATCGCATGACCCCTTTAGCATTTTTGATTCTATTGTTGAGAACTTTGGCAGGCGTTTTCCAACAATTGATCGCATGTTACGTGGATAGTCACCACTTGTTAATGGTTCCAAATACCTACATTTCACATGTAATTAGAGTTAAACTAAGACAAACTCATTTTGTTATATATCTATACAAGTCTTATTCAATATATGTGTGTATAAAATTTCTATCGGTCCACAATGGCTAAGTTACAAATAGTAAATGATTTAGTTTTTGTATGTTTTTTGATGTTGTGTGACCCTTCAATTAGTGAAGCAACAAAAAATACTAACCATCCAAGTGCGAAGTCCAGTGACCGACGTGCAGCACGGTAGTCGGCTGTCGAATTAGAGTATGGCACGTACCAATAACTTGATAGTGTAACTCCAATATTACCTTTTTGCAATTTCTGCACAAATTCTATGTTCAATAATGGCAAGCATACTATCATCCTTAATAGTTATAGATCTGTTGGATTTTAAACCTGGTATTTCTCCCTATACAATTTCACGGCTAAAGCATGCGCAAGAAGTTGGTTGTGTTCACCAATATATGGTTCGGTGCTTGAGTCCCCACCTGTGCAATTTGGGTTTCTCCAAGGGGAACATCGACCTGGTGCAAAAGTACCATAATCGTACCCAAATTTGTTGAAGCTCGATGGTTCGTTGAATGTGATCCAATGTTTCACCCGATCGCCAAATCTCTTATAGCAAAGCTCCGCGTAATCGCGGAAATCATAGCTGTGATTGGAACATCAGTAATTATGGGAAAGATGAGATTTAGCTAATACTCTAACACATGATTTCATTATATAATAACTTCTTGGTGGATAGAAGTAAAGTCTCTCTGCCCTTGTGGAATTCATATAAGAGTTTAAATATGACTTTTCAAGTTTCAAGCACAAGTTTAACTACATAGATCTTTCAAATTTTGATAAATCTTGACTATCCGGTTTTACCCTACTATACTAACTTTTAAAGAAGACTTGCATCAATCGGATCCACTCTGGTACACATTCCCTTAATTACTCTAGATTGCTCTTTGCATATTTTATGAGGAATAAACTTATTTGTAATTGGCTTCACATAAATTTATTATTGTGGATTCACCATTGAAGATAAATTTAGAGAACATAGACATCTGGATCCATTTTTCACGCACCTTGCAAAAAGAAAATAAGTGTTATGTTAGTTGCCTTCCTTTTGATCTGTTTTGTGTTTTTTTTTTTAAATCATGATACATTTTCTTGTTTAAAAAATTGTTTAATTTGATAGCATTGAGTAAGTAATCAACAATGCACTGCGTAGGTAGGACCCGACAATATGAGGACTATGTGGAAGTCACTTACACAATCCGCCGACTTAGGAAACCACCATACTCATCTTCTAAGGCTTGGGGAGAATCAAAATGGAAGAGAGTCACAAAGGGCTGCAAGCCTAAATATATACCATAAGATACCCAAATTCAGACCACACTTCCCATGAAAACCAATGCCAAGATTTAAGTATCGGACAATAACCTTTGGATAGGAGCTCATTTATAAGGTTGTTGTAGTACTTAATTCCTTCCTCATTCACACCTCTGCTTACTTTTCCACCTATCAAACATACAAGTAAAAGGAAAAGGGTATGCCCAAACCAAGGGCCCATAATATACAAATGCTTCCCAATTTCACTTAAATTCTGTACAAAGTTCTACCAAATTTTGAAACTTCAGTATTTCACTATTAGCGTTACCCCTTTTAAAATATTGGATTGCAAGTCTATGTAGTGGACAATCTTACGTGGTAAGACTCTCGCCCATGAAATAGAGAATCTGTATGCATCCATATTCATGTTCTTTATGAGGGCAACATCTTCCTACGATGTTATAGAGAACCACACCGTAAGAACCAATTCCTAAAAAGCAATAGATATAATCTCATAAAAGACATTCAGATTCAAATAGTTCAATATTGGTTCTACCTTGTATTTATGGTAGGAATCACATGCCACATCTCCGTTGCTACGATCGGCTATCTTCTCTGCAGTTTCACCATTGAGTTGTTTCAAAAAACTTCAAAATAAAATATTTGCTTGTACCATGGATATTGAACTCGGTTATTATTAGAAGTAGAATTTATTTATTTTCAACACCGAAACCTTGTTCGCTAGAGAAATGTTACACGCTGTAGAAGATATAATTATGATTATATATATATATATATATAGATATATATATATTGAACATTCGGACTGCTAGGTGCTACACATGCACTTGATTACACTTTTGTTTTAGCTGCGAAGAAAGACATTGTCCATTGACCGTTTATCAAACCATAATTATTTTGTCTCATCACATGACCACATATTCTCTCATCATTATTGTGAGTAAGTCAAAGCAAAAAAATATTGTGCTTAGATTTTCTCATTGTGCTCAGATTTCCTCATATTTTTGTCTCGAAATCTTGCATGGAAAACAGTTTGCTTCAAACAATGGGTAAAGGACATGGAAGGGTAGAATCCAAACAAAATATCTGATAGTTGGCAGCGCCATCAAATATGAACCTTCTCAACAGAGATTTCAAATTTTATATTCTAAATAAATAGGAATGGTTTGATGAATGGTTCCATTAGAAATGACATACTTCCTGCAAACAAGAAAGCACAAAAAGAGATCCAAATTGCCTATAATATTTTTTCGTTAATTTTCTTCGAAAGTAGGTTAACTCTTATTAATTCACTATTTATTAGGTCCTGTGACCGTATTTGGGGTGATTTATCTTTGAGAGATCTTGGAAGCAGCAATTGGAATGAATATAGTTACAATGCAAATTGGAGAGAAGCTTCTTGCCAATGCAACAATGTTGGAGATTCAATCAAGGTAGTGAAGAGTACTTGCACCTTATCCACTGGTAATCATAGTAGAGGATGCAATAACAAAAGCAATGAAAAACAAAGGGAACTAAATCCTCATAGAAACCATAAATTAGAGAAGTTTTATCTGAAACGTTGAATTTCCATTATTTTAGGTATATGTACATATATAAATAGAGAGAGAGAGAGAGAGAGAGAGAGAGAGAGAGAGAGAGACCAGGATACTTGTGAGTGAAAGTATCCCATATACTTGGCCCTTTACCATCTGCATTCCATCCACCTTCAATCTGAAAAGGAAGAAACCAATAAGACAAGTAAACAAGCACATCAACTTGGAGGACACTGTATGTTCAACAGATCATTAAAACTCATGGCAAACCTGATAAGCAGATGAAGCTGTCCCAAAAACAAAGCCCTTCGGAAAACTCGTACGATTGAGCGTAGCAATGCCATAACTAGGTGTTAAAGGTTTAGCACTAGGGTCTACAGAAACCCTAGCATAAGTCCTAGCAGGATGAGCCTCACTACTGCTGAGTGAGGAAGTGAGGACTATAAGGCCAAGGAAGAGAAAATAGCCTTGAAACCCCATTACTTCACTGATTTGTCAGATACAAACTCGAACTCTCTTTCATGGCTTTATATAGAGCAATACAAGCCGATATGTTTTGGGTGAACACATTTTTTCCCCTATTTTTAGTCCTTTAACACCTAAAATGACTCTATAAAATATTTTTTCATGTAATAAAACAACTTGTTGATAAACGTTATACTAATAAAATAATACCTATTTGTTTTTTTATTGTTACCTATGTCCCAATAAAATAATCAAAGAATTTTAAAAGAAAAATTTTGATAATATTTTCGGAAGAATTCTTCGTAGTCTGTGATAAGATTTACTAATTTAATTTTTGCAGTTAGTGCGAAGTGCAACCGTGTGTTATGCAGCCCATGAAGAGCAATTGGCGTGTAATTAATATAATAAAAAAAGAGATCCGATTGATGGATTATTGATTTAATCATTAGGTCATTGATCAGATTGATTAATATAATAAAAAAATAATTAATAATAATATTTATAAGGCTAAAAATTATAATACTTATGAAATAACATGCTTAATGCTCCAACGATTCTTTTTTTTGTTATTGAAATATAAAATTACTAATGTATGGTAAAATGAATGACATTGTTTTATTATCAATTAGTGTTTGATTTGATTGAATTCCCATTACTTCACTGATTTGTGAGATACAAACTCGAGCTCTTTTTTTATGGCTTTATATAGAGCAACCAAAGGGCTCGAGATTTATATTTTGTCACTAGTTTTTCGCCCCACAGAATGCACATCAAGATTTATGAGAATATAACCTATGAACGTGAATGGACATGCAAAGAGAAAATTTAAGATCGATAGTCGAGGAGGTGACTTGAAGTGCTTAAAGCATCTTCAACTCACTCTCTATTTCCTCTCTTTTAACTATTTTAGTTAGTCAAACACAAAAAACACTCTCTAACTCATTCTCTATTTTTCATTTCACTCAAATGGCTCTCCAAATGTGGAGAGTCATTTAATCTCTCTAAATTCTCTCTCTATCTTTTTTTCTTTCTAT